CATAATGTTTCAAAAGCCTTATCTACTCCAAAGATATTTATCGGGGGAAATGTGATCAGTTGCGGTTTGTTTACTTTTGGGGCGAAATTTCTTTGTCATTTTTCAAAATCAATATCCTAAAGGTTAAAAAAAAAGAAAAAAGAAGTGAAAGGTTGGTTAAATATTTCTTTACCGATCAGGCCCAAAGCTACATCCCTCTTCGTATACCTGCTGCTCGACCCGTACTAAGAGAGGCGGTGTTCAAATAATCCATCAGGGATTAAATAGGATCACCAGTGGGTACGGTAATCACATCCTACATGGATAAATAGTAATCGATAACTCCGACCTCTTCTCTGCTCGATCAGTGTGGAGCAAAGGCCTAGCAGAAAGCTCTTCTCTAATTCAGCCCTTTATTGGTTTCGATGTGAGACAATGGATTCGGTGTGGTGGCGGATGGAGGACAGGACATCTTTTCAAGTGGTGCTAGAGAAGGAAAGAAAAAGGAATAGCAATATAAAAGGAAGTTGCGAGTTCTTACCAAGCAGACCCTAATGGGGAAGAAGTTGCTTTTGGTTTAGTATAGATTTGAAATGCATTTTTCATGCTGGCACTGCATGTGAATTACTATCCTCCGTGCATCTGATGTGAACTGCTCCCGGTGGTGTTTGAAAGGTCAGATAAGTGTGAAAGCATATGCAGACTCGGGGGAGATTACTGCGAAAGAGTTTTTGTTGTGCTGTTGTAAGTTACATTTCTTAGCAGCTCTTTAAATATCCAGTGGCTCTGATGAAGGGCAGTGGCCGTGTTAAGTACATGCTAACTAGAACTTGTTTTGAACTCACAAGCATTCATTATTCCAGCCCAATAGAATACCTTAATCGATTTGCTGATGCTGTATTAGCATTTAGATTCACTGCTTCACAGCTTGAGTTTGTTGTACTGAATAACAGCTTTGTGCTCGCATATATTCATAACCATTCATGATATTTAAACGTGTTATGTTGAGAGGTAGTCTCTGTGAATCAGATTTGTGTTAATGCACATATAATATTGCTGTGGGTGCCTTTATTTTATTTCTGGTCTTTTTATTCATTGGTGCAGTAGAAAAAGGAAAAGAAAAGGTAATTCACTTTAATTTGGTTTCATAATATTGAATGTATTTTATATAATTATGTTTAGTTATTTTTTATAATTAGTTAATATGTTATTTACATTAATTTGTTTTTATTTAATGCCTGGCATTTTTATTCATTACTGTAGAAAAAAGACATGAAATTATGTCAGGAAAGAGAAGAACGAGATCTGTAAATTATGTGATTTAATTTTAATGTATTACTCTTCTTTTATATTAAATACTCGTAGAAAAAAGGCTTGAAATGATGGCAAAAAGAAAGAGGAGAAATGAGACTATGACGTGAGCCAGATATTGCTGTGGGTAATAGAAATTATTTTATAATTTTTAATCCTTTGTTTACTTTTATGTATTCATTTATTTATTTGAATATATTTGATTTATATTAATGTATTTGTACATTAATTTATAGATTTTTCTTTCTTGGCATTTTTATTCGTGGCAACGGTGGAAAGGAGGCATGAAATGTTGGCAGGAAAGAGTGAGGTAGGATCAGCAAATGGCACAAGTCATATTTACTCATCGCCCATAGCTCCATGGTTCAACTTGTTGCCCACGGCTGCGTATATCTAGTGGACTGAAACTCCATAGTTCAGGTAACACATGTCTACATTACCCAGATCAAGACTAGTTCCCTCATACCAAGACCTATCGATCCAAGATCGAGGCTTCCCATTTTAATAAACGCCAATGGAGAAAAATGGTGTATTAAATTGCATCCGCTTTCCATTCGGTTCAAGGTCAAGAAGACTCTGATACTGACCTGTAGTATAGTAAACCTGATCACCTTGGGTTGCATATCCACTTGTTTCACCCTTATGTAGGTCAAGGTGTCCAGGCAGCCCTCTCTCAGAAACATCCAACAGAGAGACCGATGAATGTTCAATGTAATCTGAGCACATTATAAGTTTGCCAGTTTACCCCAGGGTGTCTGTCTCTCTGTGGTGAGTGTTTTTGGATGTCCTCTGCATTTCATATATCTTTGGCTGGAAGTCCAGAGACTTTCCTGAAAGGGGTTCATTTGGCCGTAACCGTTATCCCCCATCAAAAATCAATAGGTTATTTTGAGGCCAACTCTGATCTGAAATGAACTGGGAAAGTTTCATTCGGTGAGCTGCACTCTTCAAAGTGAATTGTCCCAGATCGATAGCGTCATGAATTATGCAAGTACATTTCATACAGTACAACCCAACTCCTTCCTCAAAGATTTCACCAAAACAGGACTTTCCTTTCTTCAGGTTGCCGCACCTAACGGCTGGTGTATAAATAGCTTGGACTTTAAAGAATTATCTCAAAGGATGCATCAGTCCTCTTTGCAAAGTGACCTATGACCTTGTTTGCAGTCAGCTTGGACCTTACAATAGAAGCTTATTGGTGGGGAAGGATATTGACAGCATCCGATTCCTGTTGTCTGCTTGCTGCTCTATTGTCAGTCCTCCTTGGCTTTGTGTGGTCTTCCGTTGAGGAAATGGTCATTTCAGATAAATCCTTTACAGTACATCTAATGATTGCCTTGCTCTTTACATCTGATGGCATAATTCAGCTTGGTTTAGACGGCTTTGTCCGTAAATATTCATTACAATTCATGATGTTAAGAATGATGCAGGGGATCTACATTTCATTTCATAAAGCTCATCATTTTCATATAGCTGGGAGTGTTATGTTGACGCACATAGACATTGCGCAGGTATTTTATTTTGTACGATTGGGTGACCAGGCGTCCCCATTTTCCGGGAACAGTCCCAGGTTTTGGTGTTCTGTCCATCGTAAACTGTCCACCAGTTGTCACCGTAAATGTCCCCGTTTTACAGCTTCTTCAAAACAACCCGAAAATTAATTGCAAATGCCCTACTGGTTATAGGAGCAATAGTGTAGTGATTATTTTCACCAACAGATGGTGCTGTGTGTGTGTGTGTGTGTGTGTGTGTTCGTGTGTGTGTACTTTATGAAGAACATAACCTGGACGAGAGCAGACATCATTATCGTCAAATATCAAAAGAAACATTGTTATATCGCTTTCAAGGTAGTAACATACTAATTATTCATGATAAATTAAAGTAATACTGTTTGTGCTTTATAACAGGGCCTCAACATTGTGTGGGATTGTTTTGCACAATTTTAAACGTCCCCAAAAGTTCTCCAGTCACAACAGTTGTTTCCACACATCTTATCTTAACTATTTATATATATATATATATATATGTGTGTGTGTATATATATATATCATATATAAATAGTTAAGATAAGATGTCTGGAAACTGCAGAACTTTTGAAGACGTTTAAAATATATATATTAAACAATTACACTTGCAACAAAAATATTTGCAGAATATGCATACTTTGTTAAAATAAGCCAAAAATGCAAAATAATAAGCCCAATTAAGGCTAGTAAGATTCATTTTCAAGCACAAACATAACAAAACATTTGGAGTTTAAAAAGTTGTAATTTCTATATACAGTATCAAACGGCTTGTGAAAATGAAAATTTTAAATGCAATTATAAAATGTTAAAATATTTTATGAAATAGTTTTATTTATCATATCATATTTATCTTGTTTTATTTTTGTAATGTGTTTTTAGTCATAATTTTGTTTTGTTATAATATTGTTTTGAACTGCTTGCTATTTACAATGGCTATTAATTGTTTTTCAGTGTGTGATTTTTTTTTTTCTCCCCGCAGGTGCAGTGAATTGTATTAAAACCAGACCAAAAATCCTAATAATCAAACTAAATCACAATAATTATTAATGTAGACAATAATATGGGGGACCCACAACAATAAAAAAAAAAAAACATACAAAAATGTATTGTCCCCCTTTTTTAATTAATAGATAATAACAAATGAGATATCAGTGATATTTTGATCACTCAAATAGGAAATGTTCCTGGTTTCCATTTCCGAAATCTGCTCACCTTATTGTACACCACTGTTCAACAGTTTAGGGTCTGTAAGATTTTCTTTGTAATGTTTTATTTTTTTATCAATGTTGAAAACAGTTGCTGCTTTTTTTCAGGATTCTTTGATGAATACAAAGATCATGATTTTTTGTTTTAAATAAATGTAAAGCAACCTTGCTGACAAAAAAAAATCTATTAAAAAAATTAATAATTTTTTATTTAACTAATATTTAATTTTAGTTTATTATTTAGGTAATACATTTAAAATTAAATGCCTTTTTATTTAATATAATCTCTAAGGAACAATATATGAATAGCTTTTATTGAGCACAGTCATGCCTCAAGGTTTAATGCTTTTTAAAACTCTGCTTATAACCTGCTAAAGTCATTCTTCTGCTTTAATCCATTTCAAGCTTAATATTGTGCTCTTGATGAAAGCTAGCTATCGTTATCAATGCCGGCCAGCCCGAAAGAAGACTTTTGATAGAGTACATAGGGCTTTTTAAGATGCAGGACACACAAGGCCGCCTTTTTAACATGCAAGACACACCTGTATCTTTTAAACATGCACTGCGTATGCACCTCTTTTAAAGATTCAAGGCACATGGGTGTCTTTTGAAATATTTTCTGGAATCACAGATGGGCCGGTCAGCTGTGTCTCCTTCACTCGTCTGCCTTTGCTCCATGACTTCATCGGACCATGCAAAAGCTGTTCAGTCTACTGCCTCGCTTCATTTTAGGGCACACACTCAACAGCGAGCAATGTTACACAGCACTGCGTCTGAAATGATGTCTCAAGTATCTGATTGCTTCATTCCCCAGCTTCCATCACAACTTTCAAGCTTGCTCAAATTGATTGAACTTCCAAATTTGTCACTGTGAAATAGGTTAGCAAGTAGAATCACAGAAGTCCTAATTAAAGATAGGATGCAAATATATTCATAATTGTGTTGCTTTATCTCGTCTGCACTTGACGTTCCTTTACAGCAAATGCGGGAAATGACATGGAGCTTCAGAGAGGGAGGAAAGGAATAAAGAGGAGTGGGATGGAAGAGTTCTGCTGTGCATTAATTAGGTGTCTGCTGAAGACAACAATGCAATCTATAAGCTTTTCTACAAAAGGCATCATTTTAAGAACATCATACGCGCACCCCAACACAAAGGCTGTTTCAAAAGGTAGGCAACTTAATTATACCTTGTTTTAGCCAAAAATACAGGCAGCATCAAATATATCCTTCACTGAGGCCATCTCAGAAAGCACTGCAAAAATATAATTACATTTTATTTCAATAGTCCACCATAGACATGCTACTAACTATAAGAAACTTTGCACCTGCATGTCAACTGTTACGCTCAAAATGCAGGCAAATGTGGCCCAAATCCGTTTATTTATTTGCTCACATGTGACTCAGATCTGTTTTCTCATGACGCTGTGAACAGCTCAAACCACTTGGTATCTGATCTTTTCATTAGTGGTCCTAAATCCAATACAGGTCAGATGTTTTGCAATGACACCTCAGTCTGAACAGTCAAATCGGAATTCATGCGACGTTTATGTCACTCAAGATCAACATTCGTCACAAGCCTGCACTCATGGGAGTCGGATTTTACATGCACAAAGTTATCAAGAGAGTTGCTAAAGGTAGTCTGTGAAGGACAGGGATGTGACAGAACTCATAAGTGACGGCTCTATAAGCAAAACGTGGGCTCGTATCATAAATGTTTAAAAACTCTGCTCTCTTTTTTCACATCCTTGTCTTTGTTTTTTATATTGCCTGCACATAAATTTGCTGGCGTCTGCAGCAGATCACGCTATAAATAAAAGCACAATTGCTTACTTTAATATTCTATGTGTTTATGACAGCTTGCATGCGGGTCAGTCCAGGACCATGGCGGTTCGCACTGGAATCTGATATTGGACACATTTAAAACAACAATGTGAACAGCTATACTAAATCATATCTGAGTAAATCAGAATTGAGCACTTGTCAGTTGAAGTTATAGTCATTTACGTACTTAAATTTTTTCACCGTTGACAAGTCAGCCTTTCGAATTTTCCTTTACATTATTTAAGTTTCATTTAGTATTTATCATTTATTTCAGCTTTAAACTTATAACTAATAGTTTATTTGAATAGTTTTAGTTTTAATGAACACAACACTGATACACATTTTTAATACTGACATGTGTCAATTAAAAAGTGTAGCATAGTCAAAAACGGGCTGTTGTACCCTTATGTGTGTGTCCAACCCGGCAAGTCGTACGAATTTTACGAGGTGGCTAATTCGTAACAATTCGTACGACCTCACTCGATTTTTGCTAAATCGTACATATTTTACGAGTTGCCCAATTTGTATGAATTCGTACGAATGACCTACCCCTGACCCCGCCCCTAAACCTACCCATCACGTGGGTTTAGACAAATCGTACAAATTCGTACGAGTGAGGTCGTACGAATTAGCCACCTTTTAATCACTCGTACAAATTCGTACGAATTGGTCGTGAGATAGCGTTGGTGTACACATCTTCATCCTTGTGAGTGAAGTCTGAATAAGGAGCATTATTTGTATGCCGTCTAGATTTGCAGCCCTGTAGAGTGTTTCAGACTGACATCCCATGCCTCAGAAGGTATACTCACTATAGGCTTTGAAACAGAACTACAGTCTTTGATGTGGTTGAAGCCTCCAAAACTGCCATGCATCAAGCTCAAAAAGATTTCCGTTTCCTCCATCAGTTTCCCCCCTTCCTTTTTATTCTCTTCAATATAACTGGTTTGTTTCCAGTCTGATTACCTTCATATTGCACAAAACACCTGATTCCTTTTCTGTTTTTATTCTTCCACACCCCTTTTTTTCAGAGACTGTCTCTCTAAATGTTTAAATGTATCTCTCACAGTCTGTTTCTCTCCTGTCTCCTGTGCTGGTTTAAATTCCGAACACGTGCACAAACAAACACAAACGTTCATAGATTCTCAATTTACTGATAAAGGCGATAAATGCTAAATATTGTTGCCCTAGAAACCTCCTTTACCCACCCCCCTTCATCTGTCGCACCCCTCTTTTCTCCACCTCTACACACCACTATGTATTAATAAACTAACACACTTATCTAATCAACAGGAGTGTATGTATGCGCATGCATCTGGAGAGGGAGAGAGGGAGCAAACGTGTGTGTGTGTGTCCACTACAGATAATCCTGCAAATGAGTCCAGTGCCAGTGTCACACTGCGCGGAGCTCTGTTGGCTGGCAGTTTGGACAGCAGTGTGGATGGAGAGAGAAAGAGAGCGGAGTGCGGTGTTGTGAACACAGCTGCGGTGAGGTACAGAGATGTTCATGTTAATCCATTTTCAAGGCAGACGTCAAACAGAGTCTAACTGAGCTAAGCTCTCCCAAAACGTACAGACGGACTCACACACAGCAATTGATCCACCGGATTCTGTTTGTTTTTTAAAAGGAATGTTTTCCTGAGGTGATTTAGTGAGCTGGATGGGAAATGAATACATATTTATGCCCCAGTCCAGCCTCTAGCACTCCATCGTCCTCTACTGAGCGCCGGAATAAAATTAGAGGCCGTTGACATGACACTTTTTTAACTGAAAACCGGAAACTTTTTTATGCGTTTTGGCCGTTCATTTACACTTCAACAGCGGTTTGGGGGCCTGAAAACGTTAATTTTTGAAAACAGGAGATTGATACTGTTATCATCTCCGTGTAAACTACAAAAACGGTGATGTCATGCATTACGTGTTCAGTCTATAGGCACATAGTTTTTCTTTTTAAAGTGACATCGCAAACTACTGGCCCGGCATGAATAATACAACGGTTTAGTCGAATAAACAATCAAAGAATAGTAAACTACATTGTTATCATATGACCAATATGTTACATGCTTATTTATTGCATTAGTGATTTTTATTATTATTATTATTTGGCTTTCTTTGACAGGATAGTGGAGAAACAACAGGAAAGTACATGGAGCGAGAAGGAAAACAGGACTGGGACAAGTTCCAAACCAGACTCAAACTCGCTCCCTTAAAGGGTTAGTTCACCCAAAAATGAAAATTATGTCATTAATGACTCACCCTCATGTCATTCCAAGCCCATAAGACCTCCGTTCATCTTCGGAACACAGTTTAAGATATTTTAGATTTAGTCCGAGAGCTTTCTGTCCCTCCATTGAAAATGAATGTACGGTATACTGTCCTTGTCCAGAAAGGAAATAAAGACATCATCAAAGTAGCCCAACTAACCCTTTAAGAGCGTAAAAGCATATATGAAAAATGCACTATATGATAACATTTTGCATCCCCCCCCCCCCCCCCCCCCACACACACACAATTTTGTGTAAAGAAAAAATGATCACAAAGGTGCTTAAAAATGTTCCAGTTATTGGTTTGACAAAACTAAAGATTACCAAAGTTTTTACACTACCGTTTAAAAGTCTTGGTGTCAGTAACATTTTTTTTAAAAGAAATGTATACTTTTATTCAACAAGGATGCATTTAATTGTTCAAAAGTTACAGTCAAAACATTAATAATTTTACAAAAATCTAAAAATGAAATTTGCACAACACATTTTGTGCACAACTGTTTTCAACATCAATGATAATAATTATAATATATATATATATATATTACAATTTGTTCATTGTAATAGTATTTTACAGTGTTACTATTTTTGATCAAATAAATGCAATCTTTTTGAGCATAAGAGACTTTTAAAAAGTGGTAGTGCCTTTTGAATGGAATATTATTAATATTATAATATAATATTACAAATAATTATTGGTATAGTATTCAACACAAGTCTGCACTCAAGAAATGCCATTAAAAAATAATATATAATTTTAATAGAACAGTTTTCCATGCTGTATTGTATGCACATTTTGGAAAATAAGCCTACATATAGACTCTGTGAAAATACTGTAGTTTGAGCAGTGGAGTATGCTGTTTTTGAACACAAGTAACATTTGAACTTCACCTGGGTGCTGCATACCAAAAATTTGATATTTGACAAATAGAATAGAAAATATACCTAATTCTTGTTGCTGATTCGGCAAAGAATCTCTTCTTCTAACTGTAACAGGCTAAAAACTCAGTGGCAGTTTTCACATGTGTTTTAACCACAAGAACTAGAAAGAATGAAAGAATGTTATCACACACACTGCTCCAGGAAGCTGTCCAGTGAGAAATGTGTATGACTTGGTGACAAATGTGAGTTCAGTGACTAGGTGTGTTCAGGGCACGTGTGTGTGTGGAAGTCTTAGTTTAAAGACACAGCTGCTCCTGCAAAGGAATTAGTCTTTGGTGTGTGTATGTGTTTGTGGGAGGGTTTGTGTTCCACAGAGCATAACCAGGCGTTGTTAATGAATTAATGACACAGAGACAGACACAGGGGGGTTTTGATTAGATAATAATACCATGACTTGTGGCTTCATGGGAGGGAGTTTTAGACGGGCGGTAAGACGGGCACTCTTGGGAGGTGCAGTTTGCTCAAGATGTTCACCAGGCCCTGCTGGAACTGCCCGGTAAATCTCAACTGACAGCTTCCACAGAATAGAAATTTGATTGAAATTGGGATGTGCTGAGTTATTATGAGTATATGAGGCGACCATACAACCATTCTAATTTACACTTCATTCATTCTCACATGATCCTTCAGAAATCATTCTAATATGGTGATTTGCTGCTCAAGAGTTTTTTTTTACTGTCAATGTTGAAACCAGTTGTGCTGCTTAACATTGTTTTTATGGAAAAAAATATTCATATACACATTCAATAACATTCTCTTCGAATCTTAGAAACATTCGATTTGCTCCATATACTTCTATTGTTGGTGTGTAGAGAGTTTAAGCAAAACATCTTGGGCTATACTATTTCAGAATGTTGTTGTGAAATTGTCTTTTACTTAACAAACAGCTAACAGAAAATGACCTAATGATAGGTCAATGGCAAAAGATAATGCAAGTCGAAAAAATAGATGTTTTATTTCGAAGTAAAAAGCTATTAAATTCTATAACACTTACGGAGGTTTTGAGAAACTGGAGATAGCATTTGTTAAAGATTGTGGTAGATGATGTGTTTGAAGGCCACTTTAATAGAAA